ACCCCCGAAAAATCGAACGACCCGGGGAATATCTTTACTCGTACGCACAGGCTACGGCGTCGCAGGCCACGCCCACCGCCGCGGTAAGCCACGATAGAATCACCACATAGCTCCTCACAACGTGATATTTAGTCATCGTTTGCAGAAGAAAGCCGCCGATGTTCGTTAATTTCATCACGGAAATATTCTATTGTCTTTATCAGGCCATCTCGCATCGAAACCTAAATAGAACCCTCTATTCGGACAGGAGTTCCATTCAATTTTACAAAACGCACCTGAGGTTGCCATTTCAACTCTTTAGCGGCCCTCGATATATCAGGTCTTCTTTGCTGTGGGTCATCTTCCTGCGAACTCTTGTTAACTATACTGCTTTCACTTCCTGAAAAAGCAAATGTTTCCCAAAACGTAAAAGAAGATGAACTTCATGTGGAACGAATTACCGAATTTCTTCAACTCCCTACCCATAGCAGTACCCCCACCTCACCCTCAAAAGCGGAGGGCATTTCCCAATCAGGTGTTAGAATCAACCATTAAAGCTAGCGAACATAGTGGCTGCATAGTAGTTTCGCGGCACTGTCGAAAATGGAGGACGTGTACAACGTCAGACGAGAAAAATCAAGAGCCGGAAACTTCACTCGCGGCTTTGCTCGAAAAAATTTGCCTCAAAACCAATTACGACATCTCACTCAACGATGGGTACGACCCCCCTAACCCCTTTCTACTTCATAGTACGATACTCGCGATAAAATTCCGCCAACTATGTTGCATCTCGAATCGTACTGTATCTTAAGGTAAAAAAATTAAATAACGATAAATGAACAAGCACAAACCGACTAGATCTTTTATAATACGCGCAAAGTCTGAGATAGAGTACTCCTCTGGATTTCCAATATTGACTGGTAGCGAACAGTTACTGTTCATAAGCAATATCAAACCATCGACTAAATCATCCACATATTGAAAAGATCGCGTCTGTGAGCCATCACCATAAATCTGAACAACTTATTCGTCGTGATTACGCAGCAAATACAATAATATGATATAGTAAAAAAATAAAACAAAGAAGTCATAGCAAATTAAATGTGAGCCTCAAGGGATCGGCTACGTTACTATTTGAACATCTGCGCACAGTTCGGCTTGGCGAGGGCATATTACTGGTTCCCACCGATCACTGCCGATGCTCTGGTGAGAACCTGCCAAAGTTATACAAAAGCATAGGCTCTGTCTACACTTGGAGTTCTTACCAGAGTGAGACGCGTAAATTAATGGGGACTAGCAGGAGAAACTAGAAAAAGTGCAAAATGCTTTTAGCCTTCCCCCCCCCCTAAGCCGAACAGCACTCTGTTGTGCATGGCCCTGTCACGCAGTCTCGTAGCACAGACAACTATACTGCGGCTACCAGAGCATTGAGCGATGCGAAAGAACCTATGACAAACCCTGGAACGGGGATCTTCAAGGAGAGAGGAGTTCAGGATAAGTGAGTCACTTTTGGGGCTGAATGGTCATAGAGCTCCGTAGAGGAAGTGCAGAAAAACAAAGAACTGATGATATGACTCGAAACTTTCTGTTAAATAAGGTGGATGGGTGAGGAGAAGCATGCTCGTCTGCGTCCTACAAATTCTTTCGTCCGAGCCTCTGCCTGAAGCTGCGTTCATACACTGCGACTCCACGTTTTGGGAGAATCAACGTTTTGGGTGAGAAAAGGAAAGCCCAACTGTTGATGATGGTATGATGATCGAGGAAAGCCGCACCTTAAACCTTCAAAACGATGATTCTCCCAAAACGCCTAGTCGATACCGATAATTTCTTTTTCGCTCAAGAAATCTGAGCAGAAAAGTATGGACGCAGCCTGAAAGACGACCAGAGTCGATGCGATCACTTCCCCTCCCCCCCCTCCTATCTGACCTCCCAGTTCACATGCACCAAAATACTCAATGTTAGTAGAGAAAAAAATAAGTGAACAAAACAGACAATATGATTACGCTCACCGTTATAGGATTTCCTTGCAACGCTTGAATAATGAAATTAGACACCACTCGCCCATCATTCATATGCATCCGTGGCCCAAATGTATTGAAAATACGAGCAATCCGTATGGGGACACGTTCCTGAAACGCCCGGACTATCAGAGTGCGTTCACACTTTGCGTTAGCGTTTCGAGCGCTGTACCGCAGCGTTTTGAGCACTTCGTCGGTAGTTTTGAGTTTTTTGCGGGCATGCTGGCGTATGCTCAAAACGCGAGATCGATACCCATACATTCCTAGCCGCTCTAAACGCTGACGCAAAGTATGAACGCAGCCTTAAATGGCCAGTACCCGCAAGTAACCTTATAAAACAAACCTGTTTATTGTAGGCAACCATTAAGGATTCCGCTACTCTCTTTCCTTCATCATAGCAACTACGTGGTCCGATCGTATTCACATGTCCCCAATAGCTTTCGGGTTGTGGATGCACTTCTGGATCCCCGTAAATCTCCGATGTCGATGCCAGCAATATCGTGGCTTTGACGCGCCCAAAAACAAAGACAGTTATGTAAACAACGCAGCATGAAATGAACAATAGCATGAGCAGCGAAATTCGGCGACGGGTGGGGGCACTTTGCAATTTTGCTACCTCCATCGACGTGTCGAGCCACCAACTGGAAACCTTAGAAACCTTGTGAAGTCACAAAATCATGCCAGTCAAAGCTTGTAGGGAAAAGTTGTCAACCTTTATAGGAGTACCAACTTCTGTGAAGCCACGAAATACCGTGGTCGACCAGCTTGCTCCAGCTTCACAAGAGTTTACAGGTTTCACCGAAATGAGACTCGTAAACAAGCAGCGAAATAAAAAATGCCCCCCCCCTCGCGTAGCCGAACAGCGCCAACTCAAAATCACCAACTTAGCTAAGCCAAGCATGTTAATGGTGCCCAATGTGTTCGTCTTTATCGTCTTCACCGGGTTATACATATAATGAGGTGGAGAGGCCGGTGATGCCAAGTGATAAATTTGGTCCACTGCAAAAAAAAGCCATAAATCAGCTACTACTTCAAATAAATTGTAAAGTTAATGTAACCTTCGATGAAGTAAGGATTAACCACATCATGATGTACAAGTTTCAAAGTTAGGATGGCCTATCCACCTCTCGACGTTCCGCTTTCGTCCGGTAAAATAGTTATCAAGAGCAATCACCTGGAAAAATAATCCATTGGTGCCATATACTGGGAGCGGTAGGAGTCCTCTCAGTCTTGGCTTGTTCGGAGGGGTAAGGACACGTTATTTCCTGTCAGTTGTGTAATAACTGAGTGAAGCGAACAAAAAACCAAATGGAGTTTCGCACTTAGGCTCGTAGCTGGAAAAGCTTGGCTCTTGAAGGAGGTAACACGACGCTGAGTTATATCGAGAGGGGGGCAGAGCAGAACAAGGCACACAAATCGTTGTGTGAAACAACAAGGGGGGGGGTCGTACTTTTGCTTGGGGGAGGGGGGTCGTATTTGTTGGAGACAAATTTATTTTGATAGTTGATTTTATCTTGTGGAAAAGTGGGGGAGGGTCGTATTAATTTTTGTTTTATATGGCATTATATGCACCCTGTACACCCGCCGGATATACGTTTATTGTATACCCCTCCCCCCGCTCGACAACTTTTTCGCCGACTATATACTTATGGCTCGGCGACTGGCGAAGAAGGTGTCGAAGGGTGGGGGGGGGTCGTACCAGCAACGGGCGGAAAAGAAAAAATAGGGGGGGGTCGTGGCCTGTACCCCATCAAGGAGGGGGGGGGTCGTACTCTACCGACATTTCGCCTATCCCTCATGCTGTACCCTGGGGCAGAGAAGGCCTCACGCTTCTATCCCCTCCCTCTATCTAGATAGGCTAAGAGCACAGACAGATGCGAGCTGATGCGGGCTTTTAATAGAACACACAACCTACAAGATTCCGACCGGAGCACGTGCCATCACTTTGAGAATCGTACACATTGTGTCGTATTGAATATGACCCCCCCCCTCCGGCCCACAATCGACCGACTCATCAAACTTGCCCAAAAATGCCATCGAGGCGAGGGAGGAGAGAGATGGGGGGAAGGTTGAGCGGAAGAGGAAAGAGGAAGAGGAAGTAGACACCTCCGATCGACTATAGAAATAATAGTTCTGCGGTGTCGCCGACTATGAGGGTGCAGTGCGCGTGAGGAAGAATCAGGAATCAGAAGAAAATTTCTCCAGGCCTATTATGACCCTCTCCCTCCAATCGGTCAAGAACATCCTCTGCTGTGTTGGGACATCCGCGAAGTACGACGCGCCGCTGATTCTGAGCACCGGCACCTCTCAGGCCTAACCATGTGGATAAGCGAAAGGGAGGCAGTGAAGCGTCTTCCCCCTCCTCCTCCCTCTCTCCTAAACGCGATACCTGTGAAGTTACCGTATGAATCGATTTTACAAAATAAAGCACAGGACTTAAAGTCACAACCCGTGGTTGCCACTCGTGAGAAAGAGTGCCATTCGTAGAAAAGAGAAGCAGTCAGTGATTTGGCGACATAGTACACAAATATCGAGACCCCCAACCGCTGTACAGCGATGGCAAATCCATCAATAAAGTTGAAGATCACAAAGGGGGCGGGACCAGGAACCCTGGTAAAGCCCTGGCGTTCTAATCAAGCAATTTCGGGTTGCAACAGTGGGACATCCTTCGCAGTTGCAGACCGTGCTAGCTGGTCCAACAAAGGACCTCGGCACTTCAGTTAATCGTCGACTCAGACTTTAAGCTAAAGGTAAGGTAAAGCATGAAGAGGAGATGGAAAGAAAAAAAAGAAGAGGTTTGGGAGCAGGAAGAAGAGCAAAGCGACAAGATGACATGCTTTGAACAAAGATGAAAAACTGACTAAAACCATCAAATTAAAAAAAAGCAAAAGTCGAACTTCATGTCCATCCATCATAAGCTTATCAACCAAGTGAGAACCAACGAATCCTGCACCTCCTGTGACCAAGATGCGCTTTCGATGGCCTTCATTTCGAAATCGAACATCTGGAAACGTCTTGCTGAAAGTAAATCATTCTTGCTGAAGAAATGGTAAACAGTGGGAAAGTACAGTACCCAGATCCTGTGGCCGAGTTTTTACGTAGTGTTGTTTTCAACATTTCCAGCTCCTTCTCCAGAGCTTCCAATCTTGCAGATAACGCGAAACTGAAATACTATAGTTTTATCGATAATGAGTTCAGTTACTAGGCCGTGTCCACGCAAAAGTGGGGAATCCGTGATTTATGAAAGTCTGCGACAAAAAAATAGTCGGCAATCGATGACCCCTTCCACTGACGCTTTCAATAACGAGCAACTCGGGGTAAGAGCGTGTTCATACTTCGATGATCGGAATGTGCAGAAAAGCAACCGATACGTATCGATTTTCCGCACTTTCGGCATTTCTGCAGATTCCGCACTTCTTCACTTTCGGCATTTCTGCATTTCTTCAAGTCGATAAGTATCTATTGCTTTTCTGCAGATTCCGCACTTCTGCACTTTCGGCATTTCTGCATTTCTTCAAGTCGATAAGTATCTATTGCTTTTCTGCAGATTCCGCACTTCTGCACTTTCGGC